AAGGGTTAGGGGTGCAAGGGTCTTGTAACTTGACAGCTTTAAGTCTTGCATGCTTCAAATGCCAGAGTTTCTGAGCCAACATTTTGGTTGCTAAGCAAGAGCGTTGTTAAATGAGTTTCACCACATTTTACAAGTTGGCCATGCCCACTCAGTCACATGGCCAGCAAGCGACTCCCACAAAGCAGGCCACAGATGAGGTTCTAAAAAAAATTGAAATCCACCACTGCCCTAAACTAAGATTTTATTGAATGCCAAGTTCTGTAAGAAAAGCTTTGAAGATATCCTTAATATAGTACAGTTCAACCAGTCAGCCGACTGACTTTGTGTTGAACAATGAATGTCTTACATTTTGAAATTTAGCTTTAAGGGCATAGTGATTATTCTAGATTACCATTTCCTAATGCATAAATGAATGCTTTTGTTGCTAAAATGGTAGAAAAACATACTCTGTGCTGTCAAAGCTTTGAGCATAGTCTCAATGCCTTTAATAATTATACTTTTGGAGTTTAACACTCTGTTTAAATAGACTTGCATTCATCATCATAGTAGCCTAAACACTTGCAACGGAAGTCGGTTTCTGTAAAGCTACCTCTAGCTTTTTATAGTCCTATGTAAGTGTTCCCTTTTTATTGTACAAACAAGGTTGAACACAACAGTATGTTCACTTAAGAGAAAAAAATATCAAGCTCATTAGAATCCCAGGAGCTACGGTTATCATGAAGTAATTGACCACATTACTATAGATGGTTAAGTATCGTAAAGTGAAATCAGAGAATGCTTTGTGCTAAGGCTAAATACAGTATCAGATAAACCTCGTTGGAAAAGATAGAATTGCAGTTCCTACTGATGGTCTCCGGCTTGGAAAGAACATTAGGCAATCTTTGTACACAACTTTGTCAGCTATTATGTTTCCTACCAGCTGATGAAAGAAAGAAAGAAGTAAGACCAAATACAGGCAGTCCTCGACCCAGAATTTATGTTGCTAAGTGAGAAATTTGTTAAGTGAGTTTTGCTCCATTTTACAACTTTTCTTGCCACATTTGTTAAGTGAATCAGTGCAGTTGTTAAAATTAGTAACGCAGCTTTTGGGTGGATCCGGCTTCCCCATCTTGGCAGCAGATCGCAAAATATGATCACATGAACCCGGGACACTGCAATGGTCATAACTATAAGCAGGAGTGGGCTTCAAAAATTTTAGCAAGGGGTTTTCTGCCCGGCTGCTCGGTGGGTGTGGCCTAGTCGGCCTCCTGCATCATGGTGGGAGGGGGCATTTTTGCCCTCCCCGGGCTCTGGAGGCATTCAAGCGTCTGGGAGAAAACGGCCTTCCCAGGTTCTGGAGGCCCTCTGGAAATGGATCCAAACTTCCGGTAGGCTGGAAAGTAACCCAAACTTCCGATAGGCTCGTTTTTCTCCCTCCCCGAGCCTCCATGTGCACTCTGCATTTACCTACATTCAAAACAGGCCACATAGGGACTCCTGAGAGGGCGGGGGCGGAGCCAGCCAGGAGTGGGATTTGGGGGTTCTCCAAACTGCACAGAATCTTAGCTAGGTCATCCTCCGCCTCGTTACTCCTAGGGTTTCCCTACTCCTCCGTGTCTCTCTCTAAGTTCAGCGTACCCCACGGGGGTCCTCCAAGCGTGTAGATTGAGAGAAGCAGCCAGAGCCCTGATCTTCTTCCCTACACTCGTCACAACATCAGCACCGGAAGAACAAAAACTCACTTTCTTCAATGCCATTGCAATTTTGAATGGCCACTAGATGAACTGTAAAGGTATATGGTTACTTTGCTGTGATGGTATTAAACTCAAAGAGACATTAAAACAAAGCATTGACTATATAATTCCACAGGTATGTTTATTGATGTGTACATCAGGTCAAGTTAATGACTAGGCTCTTTACAACAACTGAACAGATAGACAAATGACAACAGAAGCAGTTATGTGTTTAGGCAAAGATGAAAAAAAACCACTTGTTTTAAAATAGAGCAATGCAATAAAATGAGAACTGTTATCAAGATCGTTAGAATATAAATTGATTGAAAGAAAACTAACATCACAAAAAATACAGAATAACCAAGTCCAACTTTATTCATTTATTGCTTTTTGAAAATCACCCCAAAACTCTTGATTCGTAGGATATGAAGACCAAACCATCTTTAATTTTTATCTTAGCTCTTGTACCAGAGGGACATTAGTCTATTTACAAAGAATGATGTACTGATTTATTACAATATGAAACCGTTTGTTCTTCATCTAGACATTCATAAATAAGGTGAATTGCAATCCTGTCTTACAAAATAAGTGGCTTGTTATCTATGGAAAGTGTACATAAACTACCCACTCAACTATCCACCTCTCCTCCTGTGTCCTATTTCCCATTTTTAATAACAGCAGCTAGCTCAATCTTCCTCAATTGGCAGAGCCTGAAATTTCAATTCTCCAGATTCTCAGTCAGGGAAGCCTATGCATTTCCTGAATGCAGAGCAAAATAACTTCTCAAATTCTGGACATTTGCCACTAAAGTCAAAGTCACCTTATTCTGCAAATTGTAATTCGCCCTGTCAAATGCTGATTGGTAACCATATTTCTCCTACAATACATAGATATGGTATTTATATATGAATGAATCATATTTATTAATGAATGAAAAAAAATCTAAATAAGTTAAGGAATAGAGAATAAATTTCATATGTATGGGCTAGATGCAGACTTAGAACAGATCCATAAAAAACAATAGAATCTAAATTAAATATGGTTAATTTAAATTCCTTTGATTATAATTTTGGCTAACTCTGATCCAGTCTATTTATTCCATGCTTGTCAAATGAAAATGCTGGAATACTTACAATACTGGAATGAATACTATTGAAGATTTAATATCATCCCCTTTTTACTTTGTGACGTCATCACGACACAATTTACACAAAGTTCAATTTCTTTAGTAAATATCTGGGAACTCTAAATTGGTTCCAATATGGAAATACTATAGTTTATTATGCAAAATTATCATAGTTCAGCTCTGACTGATCCATAGTACACACAGAAAGCATCCACTATGAGTCTCAAGGCCATTCTGAAAACGTATTATGAGGGCAACTTGACTACAGGAGGTCTTCAAGTTGTAAATGTTAATGTATTCAAATTATGCCTTTCTTTGTTTTAATGCTTCAGTTTTGTTCTCGGGTATCATAATTTTTAATTTCTTAAGAGTTTCCAAAAAAGTAACAGTAGCCAATGTCTCTCTGGATTCCCAAGGTCAACATCTGTAAATGTTGCAAGTGTAGCAATGTGACCCAATGTGCAATGTGATAAACTATCCCATTTGTGTGAAGTGTCAATGTCACACAAAAGTGGGAAGCATGAATCATGACATTAAGCTCACCAACTTGCAAATTTTGACCTTTCCCCTACCCTCATAAAGATCCTTGACTCAGCCTTCTTGGGCCGCTTACAGTTTATTTAAATTCTTTACTCGTTTGGGAATCTATCCACTTATTCTTTTAAATCTTTATATTAAAGAACATATTACATTATCAATTGTCTTTCCTTTTTTTCTCTCTCTCTCTCTCTTCTTCCTACTGTTATCAAAAGAGGAGCTGAGATATATAGGATGAAAAATTAGTTCATAAATTTACTTACTTACTTATTTACACACACACACACACAAAGCAAACAAGCATTTCAACATAATTCGGTATGTATTTTACATATATACGATTAAAGCAGCTGATGACAAAACCATAAAAGAAAATAAAAATCTTCAGTACTTACTATAACAATAGTACTTAGACTTATATTCCGCTTCATAGTGCTTTAAAGCCCTCTCTAAGCGGTTTACAGAGTCAGCATATTGCCCCCAACAATCTGGGCCCTCGGAAGGATGGAAGGCTGAGTCAACCTTGAGCCGGTGAGACTCAGACTTGAATTGCCAAACTTCTGGTAGCCGGTAGTCAGCAGAAGTAGCCCGCAGTACTGCACTCTAACCACTGTACCACCACAGTTCACTACCTTAAAAAGTTGGAATTAAAATCCTCTAGCCTTTTCAGTATGTTACAACAAAATAAGTGCTATGTGCACACAATGTAAATGAAAAGGACTTAATTTATGCAAATCTGACCTTACCTCAATCCTATCTATGTGTACTACTTAGACTTCTTTTGATTTCTGCTATTCTTTCAAGACAATGTGCATATGCTTCCTGAACACTTACAGAACTTTTCATCACAGTGAGGATTTCAATACTTAATGGGTGAAGTTTATTTTACTTTTTAGGCATTATTTCTGAAGGTTAAAAAAAAAAGTAAAGGCAGAAAGCAAATTGTATGCCTGGTGGGAATTAAAGGAACTATGTGGAGACATAACTTTTTCAAATTTTCTCAAAAACAATGTTTTCTTTTGTGCCAAAAGTTGTATCTGCTAGCTTGATTTTGGAAAATCTAAATATCTAACAGTTCATTGGGCACAATACAAGCATAAGAATTGTGCCTTTCAAAGGAATTTGGAAACTCTACAAGCAAGGTTAGATATCTGAAGTCAGAAGACACCTAATGAAGATTACTCTTCTCAGTTCTGTTGTGGCCCGCCAGCGGGGAGGTTGGGGAGGAACATGGGCCAGTCCAGGGGTCTGGGGAAGGCTCTGACAAGTGCTCTGCATCAGAGGCAGAGATGGAGCCAGGGCTGTCTGACAGTTATCAGCTGCCTTCGGAGTCAGACATCAGTGAGTCAGACGAACAGCTGGAGCTTGATCCCAGTGTGCGCATGCACAGAGTTGCCAGATGAAGGGAACAGTTAAGGAACAAGGATTGACTTGGGAGAAGGCCACAGGTGGACGGAGATTGGCCCCTCCCATAGGGAATAAAGAAGAACGAAAGGGGAGAGGGTGTTTGCAGGAGACAATTAATTCATTCCTGCATTCTTGCCAATTATTGTGGCATCTGAAAGATACAGCCTGGCCACTCTCTAAGCCTGATAAAGGTCGGTAATTGTGAACTATCTTGAAAGGCTGTGGGAGACAAAAGACTTTGCTGGAGAGAAATTTACTGTAAATTAAATAAAAGGGGTTTATCGGGACAAGGACTCGGCTTTGTGCTACTGGTGGAAGCCTAGGTCAGAACAAGTTCACTGACAAATATTTGTTTGATAAATAGCTGGATTCTACCTGAACGGATCAATTAACCAACATGTTTGTCCCTACCTGCAAAGCAGCTACAAACCCAATTCTAAATTTGCTAGGTATCAGGCCCATCCTCTTTACTTTCAGCAGTATCCAAGAAGCTGTGTTATCGCTTACGGTATTTAAATAATAATACAGCATTTGCAACAAAGTATTGGATTAAGGCAAAGTATTAGTTGATTATAAAAACCAATCAGTAATGTCCACTTTTTTTTTACATTTATTCTCATTAACAAACAAACATCTAGCTTCAATCTTTTATTATATACTTTAACTCAGCTATTTCCAACCTGGCGTCCCCAAAATAAATTCTGGATTGAAAATTTCAGTTTCGCAACTGAAACACAACGAAAAGCTCTCAGACCAAAGCTAATTAATTATCCCCCTTTCTATTTCATGTGAAGGCATTAAACCCTATTTCTTCCCATGTCTTTGCTTCTACAAATTTAAAGTTTATATAAATACATCTTGAAAACCAACACCCAGCCCTGTTCTTTTCTTGTCCTCCCATTTGTTGGAGTAACCTTTAATGTTTTAGATGTTCACAGAGTGAGCATGTTTCTTGCATAGAGGCTTATCCTTCTTGGAGAAGAAAGTCTGGCCCTCCAAACTCTCACAGCATACCTGAAATAGCATAAAATTAATTATAGGCCAATGTTCTAGAACTTCATATACATACATAAAATACAGGTCCTTTCAGTACCCAATCCCTTATTGAACTAATTAGATTTCTTTGCTTTTTTGTCATTGTGAATTGTTATATAAAAACAGGATCTGCAAGAAAAGTGGTGCAAAATGTCCTTGTTCAGATATTGATATTGACTTCCAAGTTCTGTAATCTATTTATCGTCTTCTTGAAGTTTCTTCTTCTTTCTGACTGAGAATCAACCACATTTTCCATGGCCACTAACTATTTTTTATTCTCTATGGGCAACTGAGAATTCGGCTCCACTTTTTTCGCTAAGTATATTGTTGACGTCTCGGGGGTGGGGTGGCCTAGTGGTGAAGATGCTCACCTCCCACTCAGAAGGTTGAAAGTTCAATCCTAGGTAGTGGCAGATGTTACTCTTCTAGGCCTCTAACCTTTTGGGCACCAGGGACTGGTTCCAAGGAGAGAGGTTTTCCCAAGAACCAGGGGGAACGTGGTTTCACGTGCTGCCCTCATCCTGTGCATGGGGCTTTGTTTGCTGGACTGGGTTTTGGCATGCTGTGGATGGGTCCCGGTCTGCAGACCGGAAGTTGGGGACTCCTGTTCTAGGCCACAAAGAAAATATATCTGCTGCAAACTACCGTGTTTCCCCAAAAATAAGACAGGGTCTTATTTTCTTTTGACCCCCGAAAAAAGAATTTGGCCTTATTTTCAGGGAGGTCTTATTATTTTTGAGGTGCAGAAAGCATCAAGTGTGGTCACTTCATGGCTGCTATTGTGTTTCAATCCTTTCAGGGAGGGCTTATTTTTTGGGGAGGGCTTATTTTAGCACATGCGCTCAAAAATCTGATTTGGTTTACTATCTGGGGAGGTCTTATTTTGGGGAAAATAGGGTACATGTGATGATAGGAAGGGTATCTGGCCAGTAAACAGGCAGTTGCCCCAACTCTACCCCAAATTAAGGTATTACAGAGTCATAAAAATGGAGTGTTTATTGTTGACTTCTGTGTAGTTTTCCCTAACTCTACCTTACTTTTCCTGATTGTTGCAATTAAATGTTTCTGAACTGCGTTTTACAACTGCAATCATGCCAAAGTGATATATGGTAAAACAAAAATCGTACAATAAAAATCAAATATTAAGACCACAATGGAACACTAGGCATTACATTATATTTTTTTAGTCTTTGAAAGTCAGTATCAGCACCACGAATAGGCTTGGAAATAAAATAATTGTTTCTAGTGTTGAACACAATGTAGGAATGACCAATACTCAATACTAAGCTTTCATAAGCAGTTGAAGTTTAAACCCCCTTGTAAAGCAGCCCAACATCTAACACATTACATGTTGCCTAGACAAGATCAAAGCATGAGTAACGGAGTAGCAACAACTATAATCCCTGATGAACTAAACAATGGAGTTCTGTGTTAAATGACTATTGCTTGCAGATTTGAACTTCTTCATGCTCTTGTTAATGAGAAGCTGCAGCTACATTCATGATCTGCTTGTGGGCTTTTCATTAGAGAACAGAATGCTGGACTAGATGCTTGATATTTTGCTCTGCCAGTTTGGCTAGTTCTTATCTTTTACGCCTCCTGCACATTCCTCCATACATGATTCATAACACGTTTTTATACTTACTGAGCACACAAAACAGGTATCATGCCAAGTATGACCCAAGGCTTCCAGAAACCTGTCCCCAGCTTCAATAGGGAACTCACATCCATGGCACATGGAACCAAATAATGCATAATAATCTGTAGAATACATAATGTGGACACTTTAAAGAATACCAGCAATTTCAGCAAAATCCACAAGAGAATAAATGCTGTATGCCTACAACAGTGGCAACATTCTTTAAGACTTTTTCTCTTTGTAGTTTTAACAATCCCACTCTTGCTTGTAGGAGGATTAGATATTTTGCTATTTTGCAATCTGATTAATCTAAGGGTACAAAATTAGCTATCCCCACCAGATGGCCAGCAAAGAAAATATAGAGAATTCTTTGCTGCTCTCCAATGTCTGCCCTGATTTGGTAAGATGCATAAAAATCACAGCTAAGTAGCTATATGGAAATTATTAGGGTCACTGTAATTTTCAAATAAACTTTTTTTTTTGCATCAAACAATTTGATTCTGTAAAAGGATCAAGATGAAATACCATTCATATGGTAAAGGATATAATAAAAGAATCACATGCAATGCGGAATTTATCAAATATTTTCCTAAGCCATGTGACTATTTTGTACACTTTTTATATTCCCCTGATGGTGAACCTGTGGCACGTGGAGCCATATCTGAGGGGACGCGAGGCATTGCCCTACGTCAGCTCCAGCATGCCTGCACGCACTGGTCAGCTGATTTTCAGCCTTCCGGAGGGCGTGGGGAGGCTGTTTTCACCCTCACCAGGCTTCAGCCTGGGGAGAGCAAAAAACGGACCTACCAGGCCCAGTGGAGATTGGAAAACAGGCCATTTCTAGCTTCCGGAGGACCTCTGGTGGGGCAGGGAGGCCATTTTCACAGGGGGTATTTAATTACGGGTGTCGGCACACTCCCGCACATGGTAGTAGGCCAGCAGTGGGTTTCAAAAATTGTTGGAACCTACTCTGTGGGTGTGGCCTCCTTTGTGGGAGTGGCTTGCCACCCATATGACCGGATATGAAATTATGAATTAGTACTTAGGTCGGTCCAAGTAGCTATTCAGAAACTCTGGCATTGAAGCATGCAAGTCTTAAAGCTGTCAAGTTACAAGATCCTTGCCAGTGGTGGGTTTCAAAAATTTTTGGAACCTCTTCTGTAGGTATGGCCTGTTTTCCTGGTCCACTGGTGGAACCTCTTCTAACCGGTTCGGTAGATTTGACGAACCAGTTCTACCGAATAGGTGCGAACTGGTAGGAACCCACCTCTGTAGTAGGCGCTTTTGGCACCCACAGGGAAAAAGGTTCGCCATCACTGTTATATTCTATACACACTGTAGGCATGTACTCCAATAACTTAGTTATTGTAGAGGTGAAGGGGCCAAAGTAAAATGATACACAATTTATTTAAGATAGGTGGTGATTTATATAAACAATCAAATACACCTCTTTCTCCAGCTACCAACTCCATGCTTGAAGTTAAATAAGAACTACTTTAATCAGCTCAAGGAGCTTGCCAAATAAATTTGTATGCTATCTTTGATGTGACACATTATTCAAATATTTTTATTTTCAATCTGACAAGCTCTTTCATCTCTATTTCACAATATCATACTGAAAACGAATGTAGATATGTTTAACTTGGCTCCTGCTTAGACTTTTAAGAGGTTTTACAAGCTTTCTACGGAACAGTAGCCAGCGCAGACCGAAGAGCTTCTGTTTTCTTTTCAATCTCAGACACACAGTCTTAAGATTTTTCCCATGTTACATTAACCGTGGAAACAGCAGCCTAAAATAATTTGTGCAAGTAACAGGCAGATCAGAGATGTACGAAGTGTGGACACTGAATTCGTATCTTTGATTCTGTAATGTCACCTGAAAGTCCAGCTGAAGTACAAGAAAACTCATGGGATGAATGCTTCAGTTATTTTAGTTACTGCTTTGTTACTTCAGTGGTGGGATTCAAATAATTTAACAAGCGGTTCTCTGCCCTAATGACCAGCTGGGTGGGCATGGCTCAGTGGTCATGTGACTGTGTGGGCGTGGCCAACTCAACATCACTCACATCGATGGGTGCTTCACCTTAGCTGTTACAATGTAATAAGGGTTAACCAGAGAAGCAGTTCCTGTAAGTAGGGCAATAAAGATTAGGCTAGAAACAACACCAGAATGTTTCCTTCCTGCCTTCCTTATAGGATTAGCCCTGTAAAGTGGAAAAAAACAAAATGAGATTTCTTCCAACAACCGGTTCTCCGAACTGCTCAGAAAGTTAACAACCGGTTCTCCCGAATAGGTGCACGCTGGCTGAATCCCATCACTGTGTTACTTCCATTCAAGTTGTGAAGCTGGGTTAAATCCAGTGGTAGGATTCAGCTGGTTCACACAAACCGGTTGTTAAATTACCCACCGTCCCTAGCAAAGTGGATCCTAGGCGTTGTGCTGCACTGGAGAAACAGGCAACGGAGCGGCTGGCGCAAGGAAAAGAGAAGGCCACTTTCCCTCTTTCTTCTCCCTGCTCCTCCTCCTTCCTTCATGCTGGTGGCTCCAATGCCTGTTTCCCCACTGCAGCACACAGGATCTACTTTGATTGAGTGCGGTGGTTACTTTAACAACCAGTTCACCCATGGTCAGATTGGCCATCGCGGGGGGATTGTCCCGCATGTGTGGTGGAGCTGGAGGACGAGGATGGGCCATGCCTCCCACTGACCCTGGGCAAACTGGGTGTTAAATTATTTGAATCCTTGAACTGGGTTAAGCCCCACTGACGATGTTACTTAGTTTGGGTAATGAAGCATCTGCAATTAAACAACCAAACTCAGTATCAAGGACCCCTCAACCCTGAACTATAAATACGGGTAGTCCTTGACTTACAACCATCTAGTGACCGTTCAGAGTTACAACTGCACTGAAAAAAGCGACTTATTGCTATTTTTCACCTTTGTCGCATCCCCATTGATCATGGGAACAAAATTCAGATACTTGGCAACTGGTTCATACTTATGACCGTTGCTGTGTCCCAAAGTCATGTGATCACCTTTTGCGACCTTCTGACAAGCAAAGTCAGCGAGGAAGCCAGATTCACTTAGCAACCAGGTTACTTAACTTATCAACTTCAGCGATTCACTTAACAACTGTGGCAAGAACGGTCGTAAAACGGGCAAAACTCACTTAATAAATGTCTCACATAGCAACAGAAATGTTGGGCTTAATTGTGGTCGTAAGTCAAGGACTACCTGTATTCTGCTTTATCTGTACTGCACTTTTTAAAAAAAATTACCAACTTTCTGGCATCTGTTTTGTTTGTGAAGCAATTATTGCCTTCTGCCAGGAAAAAGGCTCTTTGGTTTTTGCTTATTGAATTGCAAGCAAGAAAGAGTGTGATTAATTTCCTTACAAAGAGGATTTCAATAAAAGAAAGGCAATACAGTAGAATTGTCTATAAAAAAGGAAAAGGAAAAAAATGAGATAGAAAAACAAACCCAAACAATAACTAATTTAAAAAAAACCAATGAAAGTGAGATACATTATATACAGTAAATGACTAATACATTGCTGTAGGAAATTCCACTTTTACATAACTTCCCATTTTAGACATGTTAATCTTTTATTTCAATGTTTTCATTTCTACAGAGAACATTATATGTGATAACACACTTAAGTAAAGGTAAAGGTCCCCCTTGCATATATGTGCTAGTTGTTCCCGACCCTAGGGGGCGGTGCTCATCTCAGTTTCAAAGCTGAAGAGCCAGCGCTCTCCGAAGACGTCTCTATGGTCATGTGGCCAGCATGACTAAACATCGAAGGCGCATGGAAAGCTGTTACTTTCCCACCAAAGATGGCCTCTATTTTTCTACTTGTATTTTTACATGCTTTCAAACTGCTAAGTTGGCAGAAGCTGGGACAAGTAACGGGAGCTCACTCCATTACGCGGCGCTAGGGATTGAAACCACCAAACTGCCGACCTTTCTGATCGACAAGCTCAGCCTCTTAGCCACTGAGCTACCATGTCCGTATCTGATATATATGTCCCTATAAATGACTCATTTACCAGATTTAATCATTCTAAATTGTCTTCCTTTTTTCTATCAAATCAAGAACGGCATGTCAGTTCGAACTGTGGGACATTCTGCTCTGCTTTAGATGGTGCTAACAGCATGAAACTGACCTGTTTTCAAATTTTATTTTAAAAATAGAAACATTATTAGCTGAACTGGTAGATTCCCATCAGCAAGGAAAGAATAGCCCAGTATTTTTTTTTTAAAAAAAGTCTTCTCATCTCTTTATTCCCCTTATTTGGATTGCTACAGGTAATACTCACCTGTCTCACAGTAAGGGTCGCCATCTTCCAAGTGGAAAATATTGTTGCGAATGGGCTTGTGACAGGCCACACACACAAAGCAGGAGACATGCCAGGCTTGTTTCAAAGCATTTATTACTTCCTAGCATAGAAAGCAAAGCAAAATACAAACAGAATTTATGTGTGAATACTTGAGTATTTGAATTACCATATTTTTCAGAGTATAATTCCGCCCCCCCCCAAAAAGAGCATGAAAATCTGGGTACGTCTTATACACTGAATACAGCCTCCCCAGCCCCCAGAAGCACTCTACAAGCCTCCCAAAAACCCGCCCCGCGTATCCTGGTTTTTTTTTGCAAAAAAACAGGGCATGCATAGGCTTTGGGAGGTTTGTAGAGTGCTCCTGGAGGCTGGGGAGGGCAAAAACGAGCGAAAAACAGGCTGTTTTTCTATGCAGTTTTCCTGTCAGTAATATCACAGTAGTTTTGGGATTGCTTCCTGTGGGATGTTTTTTCTATTTTCTAGACTTATCCATTGCTCTGAAATTCTTGGTGTTTTCCATTCAAGTAATAACCAGATCCAGGTTGCTTCTAATCCCAGAGCCAGGTGTTGAGACTGGGATTAAGATACAAAGGATATTCTGAAATGGGAAAAACTAGAGAAAGGCAATGCACAACTCTAAAGATTAATTCTAATTTTGGAACCGAGATTAATAAATTATTTTATTGCCCCTGCATCAATAAATACTATTTATAGAACCAGCTGGCTTGATTATGTGAGTTATCTACTCCATAATGTTAATTACAAATTGACATCTTACTTACTCCAAGTATCTTCCTCTGGCATCGGGCACATTCTGGGGCAAAGAACTTCTCATAGCAACCCTCGCAGTAAAATGCTCCCTTCTCCTCCACAAAACCAATATAAGCCATGGAAGTTTTGCAGTGAGCACAGTTGAACTCTTCAGGGTGCCAGGATTTTCCCAATGCTACCAGGAAAGGCCCTCTGTTTCAAATAAAAAATAAATATTAATTTTAAACTCCATGTTTAATGAAATGCAGTCAAACATCTCCTTTCTATCTTCTTTTATCAGGCAGAAAGCAAAATTTATTGCTAAAGAGAGAAGAAACTTCTACTGGATTTTTTTTTAAATATATCAAGGTATCAGTAGTTACATTTAACTCCATTAACAAGCACTTGTCTTGATATCATTCAAAGTAAGCTTTTAATGGATAATTTTGTCCCTTAAAAGATAAATTCTGAAAAAATCAAGACAGCTAAACATAAACACAATTTTGGAACATAGGGTCTTGAAGACTCAAAAGTGATGTAAGACATATTAGAAGTACACTATATGTTATCCAAGAGTGGAATAAATACAGGTTTTCACAATGTGTTTCACCTTGGAACAGAATGCTTATGCTTTAATATAATTAAAATGAACATTTTATTTCCAAAAAATGGTCCTAGATCAAGGTAGAACTTTCTGATTCTACCCAAGATATATCTAGACATGTGTGTTGTGGCCCGCCAGCAGCCAGCAGAGCTGGCAGCAGAGTCGGACAGTGAAGAGGTTGAGAAGGAGCATGGGCCAGTCCTGAAAGCTAGGGAAGGCTCAGCCTAGGGATCTGCGTTTGAAGCAGAGATGAAGCCATCTGGCAGTGAACAGGTACCTATGGAGCTAGACAGCAGTGAGGCAGAGGAACAGCTAGCAATAGCAGTTAGACTTATATACCGCTTCATAGGGCTTTCAGCCCTCTCTAAGCGGTTTACAAAGTCAGCATATTGCCCCCAACAACAATCCGGGTCCTCATTTTACCCACCTCGGAAGGATGGAAGGCTGAATAAACCCTGAGCCGGTGAGATTTGAACAGCCGAACTGCAGAACTGCAGTCAGCTGAAGTAGCCTGCAGTGCTGCATTTAACCACTGCGCCACCTCGGCTCTAGAGCTAGAGCCTCTTCCCAGTGTGTGCAAGCACAGAGCTGCCAGAAGAAGAGAACAACTCAGAAACCAGGGTTGTCTTGGAAGTAAAGTAACACGTGGAAGGTGATTGGCCCCTCCCATAGAAAATAAAAGAGGAGCGAAAGGGGAGTGGGCTTTTGCAGGAAACAATTCGTTCGTTCGGTCCTTAGATTCGTTTCAGGAGTGTGAAAATCTGTCCATGAATGTCAGAGACTCTGTGCCCAGTCTTTCCTTGCACAGCACCTCATTTGGAAAATATTTACATGGCAGGATTCCAAGGTAGATAAGGTCTATAGTCATAATTACTCCTTTGAAAGACTGTTTGCCAGGACTTGCTGAATGTGAATGAGAGGAATTCACATTTGTTTAATAAAAGGGATTTTGTCGGGACCAAGACTCTGCTTCATGTTTTTGGGGGAAGGCTAGGTCAGAACAATGTGATAGAAAATTCTTATACTTTGATATCTTCACCATTAACGATTGAATGTGTTGTTTTCATTTAGTTCCTCCAAACCAAAAAGCAGAATTAAATCAACCCAAGTGAAAAATGTTTCATATAAAAGAAAAAAAAAGAATGCATGCCATTTCATCTGCAGAACTATTTTCTGCCTCCAGTATATGTAAAACACAGGCTAACTATTTCTCAAAATATTACAAAGCAGTGTTGTTCCCCCATGTTTATACCTATTAAGAATCATTAGAAAAATACAGATACCTGAATTCTACAGGTAACCTTGCTGCCCTGTGGATACCTGGACAATTGCTCTAACCCGATACCCTGTAACCTCTATACAAGCACCTTTTAACATCAATGCTCTTCCAGCCATGTAGGAATCCAATTTAAGTCCTTATGTATAACAAACTGCTCTCTTCTCACAGCACAGGCTAATGTACGAGGTTCATTAGGAAAAAACCAAGTCTGAGAAGGACTTCTGGCCCTACTTAGGATCAAGTTTCCAATTGTCTGCACTAAAAGTACAGTCTTGGAAGAAAACATAATAGGAATTTGGAAGGGTGGCAAAGTATTTTGATACTATCACCTACATATAGCAGAGAATATTTAGACTTGGTGTGCTTTAATTTTCTCCAGCCTTTTAAGAATTTTAACATTTTGAAGCTTATACCTGAAGACGAATAAAACTCCAGTGTGGAAAAAGCAAATTGTTATTTCCAGTATTTTGAATTTTGAACAAATCAGTGACTTCTGCAGCTGAGACTACCACGTGTAATGCCACTGAAGAAATGAGCATAGAATTCCCCCCCCACCCCGGTCCCCAGTGGTTTTATTATAAATACTGTGCATAAACTCAGTGGAAATCACATGTGGGCAAGAAAACATAACATAGTTGGCAGAAAAACATCAATTGGATTTATATTCCGAACAAAGATGGACAGCATCGGCAGTAATCCTTTTAATTGTGAAATTTATGTAAATCAGCCAACATCCTATTTCATGAATGAAAATAATTTGGATGAAATGCATAAATGCACAGCTGTTTTGTAGCCAGAGGTGGCCAACCATGACTATGTCAATGGAAAGTAAAATATTGAGTTAAGTCAAGTCACCGATGTGCTCCCAAAGTTGGGGAAAATGCTTCTGTATAGAGGTCATTTACTGGAACTGTTAATATTTATGCAAGACAATGAGTGAAAAGGTAGATAAAGAAAATTCATATTCTTTGGAAGACAATAGGTTGGGTTGGTGCTTTTCATACTATTTAAGTAAGCACAAAGTAGCTGATCTACGACTAGAAGTTGTCCTGATTTTTAACGGTTCATGAAAGCATCATAAAAATGCAAACTTTATCTCAAGTATCTTTTTCCAACAACAGTTTTTCTATTTCTTGTGGCAGTTAAATTGCACTTCAATTTCTCACTTATCTTGCAGAAAATTTCTCTTTGTCAGTAATTGTAATGCCATGATTACTTAGGGAGAAAAATAATTTAAAGAAACTCATTCCTTTAAAAAAAAAACCTTCCATGTAAATGATACAGAAATATATTAATGCCAAGATTCTGAATTGACAAGTTTAATTATTTTATTCATTGATATTCTGAGGCTCCTCAGCTGTTGCATATAGCAATCTATTAGAATTTAATTACAAATATTTCACAGATATTATACATGGGAAAAACCAGGTAGTTTGGTATCTTGATATTGCAAGATAGGATGAGAGCCTGTAATAAGATTGAAAAAAAGTGCGATAACTTTTAGATAAACATATCAATAATTTAAGGATATCGGTTAAAAAGTTATGAGATACTCCCTTTTGAATTTGGGGGACTTGCACATCATGGTTATTTTATGCATTAGTGTAAAGTAACCAGGTGTACAGTGCATTTGGCTGCAACACAGGTGTGCTGTGGAATGTCACTTGATCCAGTTCTTACCTTTTCACAGGTAATACTGCCTCAAAGGGCATGAACTGTAATTATGCTAAAACCTTAACCCCAAAAGCTGAAGGCTATCATAAGCTTCCCAAAGTATTATAATGCAACTGTGGAGAAACAACATGATATAATCTTTATAAGAATGCCAGGTGATTCTATATAACCTTCTCACTTGTCTTTTCTTTTACTTTCTGAAGCTGTTTGGACATCTGCTTCTAATAATATGCCCATATAAGCTTGATATTGTACCAATCAATACTCAATAAAACTATTCCTCCTGAAAATTGCTGGATTCTATGATTGAGTCAATTATGAGAACGAGCAAAATACTTACAACTATGTAAGAAAAAGAGCCTAGTGGTGCAGTGGTTAGAGTGCAGCACTGCAGGCTACTTCAGCTGACTGCTAGCTGCAGTTCAGCAGTTCAAATCTTACCGGCTCAAGGTTGACTCAGCCTTCCATCCTTCCGAGGTGGGCAAAATGAGGACCCAAATTGTTGGGGGAAATATGCTGACTCTGTAAATCGCTTAGAGGGCTGTAAAACCACTATGAGGCGGTATATAAGTCTATGTGCTTTTGCTAACTCACATACTTGCACAATTTTCAGAGGACCGAAGTGACTACTTTCTCAGCTTTCTGTGATGTTCCAGATGGAAGCATGCATTAATTTTACTGACCTAATTAATTAGCATTTATTTGTTGTATGATGAAACAGTGTGCTCAAGAGTGCAACTCAAGAATAGCACTGAAGTAGTTCCAATCAATGGATTACAATTACTCAAATAAAAGTTCCTTGTAGAATAAGAGGTATGGTGCTGCACGTCATGTAAAGCAACCATGTATTTAGAAAATAGTACCGACCTGATGACTTGATTGCACTGAGCACACATTGGAGTCCGCTTGCCTGCTGGAATATGCTCTGCTCTCTGAACCAAAGTATCTTCATTGGTTTGCAGAAGTGCGGCTGTAGCTTTCTCACCAGAGGTTGTATTATTGTTGTTGGAAATCCATCCACTTCCAGCTGCAGTGAATTGAAATGGGACAAAACTGAGCTTGCAAGGAGAAATGCCGCCAATCCCAATGTTTTAGTACATAAATACAGAAAGATTAGGAAGACATTTATTGATAGAGATAAGTTTGCATCTAGCATTCAAATGATTGCCTTCACTCAGCACCTGTGAGCAACTTTGAATGATGAATTCGAGCACATCTTTTGCAAGACTTCTGTTACCATTTTTAAAGCTGTTTCTGCTTGCCTCTGCATGTGCACAAATGCTCTTTATGGGCAGAGATGCTTTCAAAACTACAAACCAAGAGATGCAAATGTGAAGGTGCTTGATTCACATTTTCTCAGGTTAAAAACAGAGGTGGTATCCTACCGGTTTGGCTGAGTAAGTAGTAACTCAGCTGGACACATACCTGAACCGGTTCTATTCTTGGCGCTGCCATCTTGATTTTCTGTTCTGCACATGCACAGAAAACTCTTCATTAGAAAATGTATCTTTTTTCCTTTTTAAATGTTGTGCACATGCGCAGACCTTTCTGGTGCAGATGTGCACTCACACGGAGCACAAAAATTTTCAGGCGCCGAACCGGTAATAATGCCAGCAAGGAACCACCCATGGTTAAAAAGCACCTCAAATCCTTTGCAGAGAGATAAGGCTGAAAAACTAAATTTCCATGATTTTGATATGAATTATTACTTGACAGGAATTCATTGTTTCTTAGGAGGGATCTCACCCCATGCCTGGACTTGAGACCAGACTGTCATGATTCTGAGTTATCTATATCCTCCAAGACCATCTGTATTTTATCATTAACATATTTTATACATTCATTCTTTGGTTCTCTAGAATCTCATTGTCAGGGTTCCAAATAGCATCCAAATGTAAATCAGAGTCCAAGGCAAAGAATCGCTCAAAGTTCCAATTTATTAAGAGAGCCATGTTGGCACATCTGGGGAAACCCGAATCTGAAAGCTTCCCAGTTTTCCCCACCTAGTTGAAAGTTACAGCTCTCGCCCCCCCCCCCCACACACACAAGTCCATCACATGGTCCAATCTCCCACTGCCATGCTG